GGCATAATTGGACAACGGAGTGCCGCGCTGCTTCACGGAGTGCAGGGTGGTGCGCGACCGCAACAAGGTCGCAGATCAGAAGACACGGTGCCAGCAGCGAACCGGTAACCTCGAGGAGGAGCTGGCAGCATTGCAGGAGAAGCTCACAAACGAGAGAGCCAAGATGGAGCGGTTCAACGCGAAGTTGGACGGCCTCAACAAGCGGATCGAAGAGCTGGCGGTCCCATCGCCAGGGAAAGCATGGGCGGCAGCGCTGGCCTTTCTGCAACAGGGAGGAGAGTGCCTGGACAGCGGCACCGAGCAGCGCGAGCAGCTCGCGGCCGCGCTGGACCACGCCAAGGAGCAGAAGAAGAAGGAGGCGGCAGCCAAGCACGCCGAGCGCCTCGAGAAGACCGAGGCGTACCTGGCCGCCCGCACCGCACGAGAGCGTGCCGACAGGGAGCGCAGCACCAGCGTCGACTCCAACAAGCGCCGCTGCACCGACGGCGGGCACGCCAAGGAAGACCCCATCGAGCTCGAGGCGGGCGCCGACGAGCTCGCCATCAGCAAGACCCTCGTCAGCACGGGGGCACCTCCTGAGCAGGCTGGTAAGGTGGTGGGTGTTCTCAAGTGTCTGGTTGGCGAGCTGCAGCCAGGCCACACGATCACCATCAGCGAGAAGCAGTGGCTGCCCTCGCGAGGGGTAACGGCGGCACCAACCGCCGAGGGCCAGAGGCGAGCCTCGCCGTGCACACGATCAACGCCAACACGGTAGGCCCGCTGGAGCGCGCCATGATGCAGATCAGGTGCGAGGTCAGGGACGCCGTCGTCCTGGGACAGGAGCGGCAGGCCAGCGGCACGCGGCCAGAGCTGTTCCAGACACGCATGCGCAAGCAGGCGTGGAACATCGGAGCTGTGGGCAGCGCCAAGCCCGATTCAGGTCACAGCGCTGGAGTTTTGATAGCTACGGCACGGAGCAGGGGCATGGACTTCGTGCGCAAGGGGATCAACCAGTGAGACATCAGTGCACACGAGTCCAAGGGACGACTCGCTGTGGCCTGGGTCGACGCCTACAGCGGGACGGGCCCGATCTGCGGGACCGCCTACATGTGGAACAGCGAGGGCATCACCGAGCGGAACCAGCGTATCCTGGCGAAGTGGGGCTCCACCATGGATGCGCTCCAGCAGGAGCGGGTCCCGGGAGGCGACTTCAACATGGACCCCGAGGTGCTCCAGAACTCGGAGATCGTCGGCAGGATGAACGGGGTGCGACGCCAACATGGGCACCTGTATGAGGCCAGACGGCACGAGGAGCGCGCGGGACTACTTCATCGTCTCGCGCGGCCTGGTGACGGAGCGGCTCGAGGTGCAGGTAACGGACAGCCACCACACGGCGCCGCACCTGCCAGCCAAGCTGGCAGTGCCTGTGCGCCACCACGACACCAGCAAGGTCTAAGTGCTTTGCATGCGGAAGCCTTGGCCGCTGACGCGCCCGACTGGATGCCCAACGCAACCGGAGGGCTAACCGAGGCCGCCGGCGAGCAACAAGGAGTACGCACAGGGCCACATCGACGGTTACTGGAGAGAGCTGGGGACAGCCTACGAGAAGCATCTGAACAGGTACCACGGCTTCGCGGGCGACGACCTGAGCAAGCGCCAGGGCCACTTCGAGCAGGCGAACTACAAGTGGCAGCAGCGCAGGCCCAAGCCCTGTGCAGCGGCCGCACAGCAGCCGCAGCGGGCCGAGGGCGCCGAGTGGCTAGCGCGGCGACTGAGGCAGCTGAAGGCGCTAGCCAGTGCGTGGCAGCAGCGAGGAGATGAAGGCACCACGAGGCGAGGCCAGCACATGGCAGACGGCCGCATCAGCCTCAACATCGTCCTCCCGCTGCTCGCAGCGCAGGCGCCTGGGCAGAAGGCCGACGTGGACTGGTCTCCCGAAAGCGTCGAGCTGGACGGAGACGACGAGCTGCGGGGTCTGGAGCCCCAGGAGGCTCTCATCACATGGGACACGATCAGCTGGCCGCCCATCGTGCACACGCTGAAGGACATGCGCTTCAGCAAGATCGGCAATTGCGCCCAGCACTACCTGGGCCTCATCGCCACCCTGCTGGATCTGGCCAACAAGCGGCACTGGAAGATGGTCCACCGCGCGGCCGCAGCACAATGACGGCAGTGGGTGGTCAAACACGGAGCGCAAGGAGCTGGGGCACTGCACAAGTGGACCAAGGCACCCGCGCCGTGGCAGCCGCAGGCGGGCAAGGCGGCCGACGACAGCGAGGGGAACCACGAGCTGTCGCACCCGACGAAGGCCACGGACGCAGCGTTGAAGGGCTGGGAAAGCATATGGGGCCACCCCCTAGATGACCGAGCCCCACGGCTGCAGCAGCCCACCGCCCTCGAGTGGGCGGAGCACAGGCCGCCGCCCATCACACCGAAGCAGGCGATAGAGGCCCCCGGCCGCTTCAAGCCCAAGACTGGGCTCGGCCAGTCAGGATGGCACCCGCGCCTCTGGAGCGAATGAGGCATCCACGGTGCCGCGAGAGTCGCCAGCGTCCTCAGTGCGCCGGAGGCGGGATCGCCTTGGCCGCAGGCGCAGGACACCACCTTGCTCTGCCTGATGGCGAAGGCGGCAGGAGGAGGAGGAGGAGGAGGAGAAGGAGAGGGAGGAGGAGAGGGAGGAGGAGAAGGAGGAGTAGAGGGAGGAGGAGAGGGAGGAGGAGAGGGAGGAGTAGGAGGAGGAGGAGGAGGAGGAGGAGGAGGAGGTGGTGGGGCAGGTGGTCATCGCGACCTCGGGCCGATGCCCGAGCTGGCGAGGCTGCGGGAGGCGCTCCGCACGCCGCGCGCCGGGCGCTGGGAGGACGCCCGCCGCGGGCCCCTGCGACGGGGCAGCGCGCGGGCGGGCCAGCGAGGGGGCCGCGCGGGAGCGGGCGCTGCTCTGCGAGTCCGCGGTGGCCGAGGGCATGGAGCACGCCGCCACGCACTTCGACCTGGTCGCGTGCTCCGACTGCGTCGCGCGCGAGAAGACGCGGCAGGCGGGGACCCGCTCGGGGCTCAACTGCAGGAATTCGCAGGATGGCGCTGCGCGCATCTACTCCATGGTGCGCCGCATCGTCCTGGACAACGCACACACGGAGGGCAGACGCTGGGCGCGCGGCATCGTGGCGGGCAGCCGCCTCGCGCCCCTCTGCCTCAAGGCGGTCACCTTTGGGGAGCTGGGCTGCGTCGCCGCAGACTACCCGCGGGCATCGCTGCGCCTCTTCTTCGGCGACCTGGCGGTCGCCACGAGGGGCGCGAGGATGTTCGTTCAGTACTGGCATGCGCAGGTGGTGCAGCGGCTCATCGGAGTGTTCGAGCACCTGGACACGAAGGTCTCCGAGGGCGCGGAGGGCAAGACGGCAACCATGGCCTCGACCACCGCGCTGCAGGGCGGCCTCGTCCAGCGGACGAGGCCACCAGGCGCCAGGATGGCGCGCCACGCGGACCACCTCGGCGCCACCACCGCAGCGGGCAGGAGACGACGAGGCAGCGCCTTCAGCAGAAGGGCCAGCAGGTATGCAGCGCGGCGAGACCGCATCGCGCGCATACGCCGTGCAGGAGGAGGCCCTGCACAGGCGATCATCAAGCAGGGCAAGGTGCCGCCGGCCATCTACGGGGTGCAGGTCGTGGGCGCGGCCAGCTCCACGCTGGCGCGCCTGCGGCAGAGCGTGGCGACCTCCTTCAGGGGCAACACAATAGGCAGATCTACGCCGCTAGTGCTCCTCGCCGAGGACGCCGACCCAGGCATCCGCTCCAACACGGAGCCTCTGGTCAACTGGGCCTTGGCGTGGCAGGAGGTGGACGGCCAGCCCGACCTGCAGCACCAGCTCCAAGGAGCATGGAAGAAATGGTTATGTCGAGTGGGTCGTGGCAAGACCCCATGGCTACAGGTGCGAGGACCAGCAGGAGCCTTCGTAGCGACGATCAAGAGATTGGGCTGGATATCGCAAGCAGCTCATAGCATCACCATCGGCGAGGAGATCCTGGACCTGAGGACGCTGCCGATCACGGACCTGCAGCAGCGCATCCACAGGGCCAGTGAGGACAGACTCACGCAGGAGTGGCTCAGCAAGCACGGGGAGAAGCACGGCCTCGACAGCCTCTTCATCGAGCCCGCGAAGGCGCTGCTCAAGAGGCCGCGGACAGGCCGATGGACGCTGGAGCACCAGACGAGAGCGCGCAGCCTCTGGAGCGGAGGCACACGGCCGCAACGGCGGCTCTTCGGCAAGGGCGCCGCGCAGGACACCATCTGCAAGGCGTGCCACGAGAGCGCGGGGACGGACCGCCACAGGACCTTCGTGTGCTCGGCCCGAGAAGAACATCGGAGAGCAGTCGGAGGGCACCACGTATGCTACCGTGGTGCTACGCGATAGCCTGGAGCGACGGAGGCGCAGAAGGCGTCCGAGGCGTTCTGGGGGCGGGGCCTGGCTTCAGACCCCGCGAAGGAGCTCAAGTTGCGGATCCTGCCCGCCATGGAACCCATCGTCGTGGAGGGCGAGTTCATCGGCTTCGTGCATGGGGACGTCTACACCAACGGCAGCTTGCTGCACGGGGAATACCCAGCACTACGGCGAGGAGGCTGGGCTTTCGTGCAGCTGGACACTGCGCACGAGCTCCAGTACGCCATGTTCGGCCCGCTCGAGGGGCCGCAGAGCGACCAGTCGATCTACAAGAGCGAGCTGGTCGCGATCGCCAAGGTCCTCGAGCGGGCCTGCCCGCCCGTCAGGATGTTGTCGGACTGCAAGGCCGTGATCGACGGGTTCGACAGAGGGCCCGCATGGACCGCACGCGCGGACACAGCCCACAAAGAGTTCTGGCTGCGCTGCTGGAGGCTCGTAGCCGAAAAGGGAGGGATAGGGCCGCAGGGAATCACGTTGCACAAAGTAAAGGCACACGCCACTAGGGCCCAAAGGGGCTCAGATGGGGCCACAGCTGTTTATAGGGAATAAACTGGCAGACGCCCACGCAAAGCGAGGGGCACAGATGAACCAACATGAGGCCTGGCGCAAGGCCGCATACATCCAGAGATACAGGCTGGTTTCAGACATCCTGGAACTCGCCGCACACGCCGGGGTCCTCGGTCATGGGCCCGAAGACACCTCCGAGAGCCCAGGGCCCCGCGGGGCCCAGGGCCGTCCCGCCCCCCCCCCCCCCAGACGCCTAGTGGGGGAGTGGAGGACCCGACGGGTCCCCCACAGCCCCCACCTGGCCCCGTGGTCCCCCCCCGCGCCCCCCGAGGTGCTCGGAGGAAAGACCCAGAGGGCCCAAGCCAAAGGCCACCAGGCGGTACGCCTGCCGAGAGCAGTATTATGTCGGAGGTGAGCCAGGTACGCCAGGGACCGATGGAAGGGTTCGTTTCCCAGTTGTCCTGGGGGTAATCCTAGGGTCTTAGCTGGGCGTGTAAATCGTTTGTGGCAAGGTAAACACCCCACCACGAATCAGATTCTCTGAGGCTCATGATTGCCCAGGACAAACCTAGGATGATGGGCGCCTCGTAGGGTTTCGTCGCCGCGCCCTCGGCCGCCTCGACAGACCGACCGCGAGCGAATCCTCAGCGAATCCTCCTCCTCCTCCTCCTCTTCCTCCTCCTCCTCCTCCTCCTCCTCCTCCTCCTCCTCCTCCTCCTCCTCCTCCTCCTCCTCCTCCTCTTAGTATCATTATTAGTAGTATGATTAGTATTAGTATTATCGTTAGCATTACCAGTCACATTCGTATCAATAGTGTTCGTTTTCTTCTGAGTGTTCGTCTTATCTTTCTTCCACTAGGGTGACTGTTCGTCGTATCATTATTGCATGTATTAGTCGTAATAGTGTTGCTGATTGTATTATGAGTATTGTTAGTGTTGGTAATATCGTTATTATTCTTAGTGTTGTCAATGTTATTCGTCGTCTTCGTATTATTACTGTTCTTCGTATTGGTAATAGTTTTCTTAGTATTATGATTATTCTTATGCATGGTATTATCAGCAGCATTCGTAATATGACCATCATTATTAGTATGTGTCTTCTTCGTCTTATTATTGTTATGTGTTGTCTTCCTCCTCCTCCTCCTCCCCCTCCTCCTCCTCGGCCTCATCCTCCTCCTCCTCCTCCTCGGCCTCCTCCTCTTCCTCCTCCTCCTCCTCCTCCTCCTCCTCCTCGAGGGTCGAGGGTCGAGGGTCGAGGGTCGAGGGAGGGCAGCGCTGGGGGTTCGCGCGGGCCGACGTGCAGGAGGGTCGAGGGTCCGGGGGAGGTCTCCTAGATGTTCTAGGTTTTCGGATGCTTTTTTGAACCCCGACAAGCGCTTTTCCACCTTCGAGAGGCTTTCCAGCAGCTGCGCGACCGCGAGCAGCAACCGTGAAACGCGGCGGCGCACATGGGTGGTGGACAGGCGCGAGCAAGGCCAACGTATAGTGCAAAGGCCAGCGTTGGAACAGCAGCCCAAGCGCAACCAAAACCGCGAAGAGCTACCATGAAGGCAAGTGAAAGCAAAACCAAAAGGCAGGGCAACCACCTGGGCACAAAATAGACTGTACGCGTTACCGCAAAGGTCGCACCACTCCGACCAAAAGGCGACAAACTAAAAAGGAAGAGCACTGCGAACCCGCCACCGGGATCGCCAACGCTCGAACAAAGATAGAACCCCGCGGTGGGGACGACAGGGAAGGAGGGAAGGGAAAGGGGGGGAAGGCAGCAAAAGCAAAAGCAAGAGAGGAGCCCAAAGAGACGACGGCGCAAAGCCCCACGACACGGCCGACCCGCGACAGACCGACCGACTGCGAGGCGAGCGACCCCCGCGACCCCAAAGGGAGGAAGGGACCGACGAACCACCGCGGAGAACGCTGCTGGCAAAGCATGCTGACGTACAGATGGAAACAAGCAGGCGTAGTGAACTGCAGCCCCAGGTGCGGACGCGCACCCCAGGTGCAGGTGAGGTGCAGGCAGCAATAAATTAAACAGGCCGCGGCCATGCCGGCCAGCACCCCATGCCGAGGCACAAGCAGCAAGGCGGTAAGGCCGCCGCGGGCCAAACTGCCAGACGGAAAAAGGCACCGACCACGAGCGGTGCCCGTGGAAATTGCCACGCGCACCCCTGGGGGCGCAAGAGAACCAGTGACCAGGCCAGCACGCGAGGTGAACACTCTCACACACACACACACACACACTGAGGCAGAACAATCTGACACACATTCTTGGAGAGCGCGACGTCCACACGGATGCCACACGCGCCCACACGGCCAGGATGCCCTGGTGCGCACGCACGCGCGCGCGCGCGGTGGCGGTGGTCTGTACGGGGCCCGCCGGGCGGCTGAAAGCCCCTGTCATAATCGATGCCGCACCTGTGCGCGACGGACCGGAAGGCCGGGTGGCTGCGGAAGAACTCGCTCTCCGCCGCGAGGTGGGTCCTCATATCCTCCCCGAGGCCGAAGAAGGGCTTGGCCGCCAGGCCAGGGAAGGAGGCGGGAGGAGGGGGGGGAGGAGGAGGGGGGAAGTTTTTTTCTCCCAA